TCCCCCTTCCCCCATGTTGCCCACCAATCAAGGCATCCCTCCATGTACACGGCCGGCACATAGCAAAGCCCATCCATCGGCGTCACCCGAAGGAAAATCTCTTCTTTCTCCGACTTCCAGCTTTTAATTCCGCCTTTAATTAATCAGCCGGTTGGATGTGACTTTCCTCCGCTTTCCAGATTAACTTTTAATTGAGTTCTCCGGCCGGCCCGATGGTCTCCGGGCCGAGATTAGCTCGGGAAGTCATTCTGTTTGGCTCTTGGGGTCTGACATGTCGCTCGGCGTCCAGATAACGGCTTTCAATAAAGCTGTACTACCTGGGACGCATTAGCGCGCACGCGGATTGATGGGCAGCCCGCCAGGAAGTAATATGGAGGACAGTCACTTAACATGCAGCCTGACGGTACGGGACAATTACAGGACATGACAGGACAGATAAAACATCACTGATATAATTATAATGACCGCCAGGGTGACAACGGAGACGCCGCGCACGCCGCTGATATATTACCCGCCATCTTAAAGCCACGGACAGGCGAAATGTCTGCTGGAATTACCTCCGGACTCCGACAAAAGGCTGATTTACATTTCCAGATATATATATGTAAATGTCGCCGGAGCTTATCAGAACTGAAAATAATTAAAGGTTCTGACCCGGCGGGGGAGGGGAGGGGGGGGTTCTACGCACAGCGTACTTCCTGCGCAGCAGGCGGCCTCCACCGAGCATCATTGAGCTGGTGACCGAAAACAGTAAGGGGGGGGGGGGGGGGGGCATTGCGAACATTAAAAATCGATCCACCCAAAACTAAAATTTCATTGCAGGAAGGCTCAGCTACACTGTCACACACCGCCATACTGTCACACCGCCACACTGTCACACCGCCATACTGTCACACCTCCATACTGTTACACCGCTATACTGTCACACCGCCACACTGTCACACCGTCATACTGTCACACCTCCATACTGTCACACCGCCACACTGTCACACCTCCATACTGTCACACCGCCATACTGTCACACCTCCATACTGTCACACTGTCACACCGTCATACTGTCACACTGTCACACCGCCATACTGTCACACTGTCACACCGTCATACTGTCACACTGTCACACCGTCATACTGTCACACTGTCACACCGCCACACTGTCACACCGCCACACTGTCACACCGTCATACTGTCACACCTCCATACTGTCACACCGCTACACTGTCACACCGCCACACTGTCACACCTCCATACTGTCACACCGCCACACTGTCACACCGCCATACTGTCACACCGCTATACTGTCACACCGCCACACTGTCACACCTCCATACTGTCACACCGCTACACTGTCACACCGCCACACTGTCACACCTCCATACTGTCACACCGCTATACTGTCACACCGCTATACTGTCACACCACCACACTGTCACACCACCACACTGTCACACCGCCATACTGTCACACCACCACACTGTCACACCACCCTACTGTCTCACCATCATACTGTCACACCGCTATACTGTCACACCGATATTCTGTCACACCGATATACTGTCACACTACTATACTGTCACACCGATATACTGTCACACCCGCCATACTGTCACACCGCTATACTGTCACACTGATATACTGTCACACCACCATACTGTCAGACCGCCATACTGTCACACCGCTATACTTTCACATTACTATACTATCACACAGTCATACTGTCACACTGCTATACTGTCACACCGCTATACTGTCATACAGCTATACTGTCACACCGCCATACTGTCACACTGCTATACTGTCACACACCATACTGTCACACCGCTATACTGTCACACCGCCATACTGTCACACAGCTATACTGTCACACCGCCATACTGTCACACCACCATACTGTCACACCGCTACACTGTCATACTGTCACACCGCTATACTGACACACCGCTACACTGTCACACCGTCATACTGTCACACCGCTATACTGTCACACCGCTACACTGTCATACCGTCATACTGTCACACCGCTATACTGTCATACTGTCACACCGTCATACTGTCACATGGTCATACTGTCACACCGCTACACTGTCACACCGTCATACTGTCACACCACTATACTGTCACACCGCTACACTGTCATACTGTCATACTGTCACACCGCTATACTGTCACACCGTCATACTGTCACACCGTCATACTGTCACACCGCTACACTGTCACACCGTCATTACTGTCACACCGCTACACTGTCACACACCGTCATACTGTCACACCACTATACTGTCACACCGCTACACTGTCATACCGTCATACTGTCACACCGCTATACTGTCACACCGCTATACTGTCACACCGCCATACTGTCACACCAGTATACTGTCACACTACTATACTGTCACACTGCTATGCTGTCACACCGCCATACTGTCACACCGTCATACTGTCACACCGCCATACTGTCACACCACCATACTGTCACACCATCATACTGTCACACCGCCATACTGTCACACCACCATACTGTCACACCGTCATACTGTCACACCACTATACTGTCACACTGCTATGCTGTCACACCGTCATACTGTCACACCGTCACTGGTTCTTTCTCTTGCAGGTTCGGGTTTTCACCTTCTCAGTCGGTCAGCACAATTATGATGTCACCCCCTTGCAGTGGATGGCGTGCGCTAATAAAGGTGAGTGCGCTTAGAGGGCGGAGAGGCGGCTGTGCGGCGTTCTTCCATGCAGCGTGCAGCATTCACGTCCCCCTGGAGGCACCAATCCCCCCCACAGTCCTGAAGAAGGGGAAGTGCTTCTCCGCAACGTGTCGGCTGCATTGTATTCACACACATTTCACTCCCGCCGTCCGACCATTTGTACCCCGCGCACCTCACACCATCGGAGAGGGAGCCGCTGGAGACCAGGACCAGGTCCCTCTTCAGTGGGCCGGGTCTGTAGGTCCAAACCACACCCATACAAAGTCATCCTTCGGATTTCAATCAGTTGGTCCCAGATTTGCACCTCCCACCTTTCCAGAGACGCATCGCTTTCCTCGCCGTGCTACACCCTCCAGCTGCTGAACCCTGACAGATATCTAACACCCCGCACACACCCCTCCGATGTGCGACCTCCAGCCAAGTTACACGATTTCAAAGTCGGATGTCCCCATTACATTCACAGGCTGTTCTTCCTGCACCGTGACGTCACTTCACCGCCCCGCCCCTCCCCTCCCCCGCACAGGGCTGCTGACTATCATATCATCAATAGTAATTGTTTTCTCATCCTTCACAGGTTACTATTTTGAAATCCCGTCCATCGGAGCGATCCGGATCAACACTCAGGTATGGGGAACGCCGAGCCCTGCGGGGAACACGGGAATATTCATCAGGGGTAGAGAAGTGCGGAGACCACTAACAGCCAATCACAGCACTGAGAGGGGTTCCCACCATCCCTGTGCTGAGTTCCCAGGTCTGTACCCCCACTGTGCCCATTATGAGGGGTTCCCACCATCCCTGTGCTGAGTTCCCGGGTCTGTACACCCGCTGTGCCCATTATGAGGGGTTCCCACCATCCCTGTGCTGAGTTCCCAGGTCTTTACACCCGCTGTGCCCATTATGAGGGGTTCCCACCATCCCTGTGATGAGTTCCTGGGTCTGTACACCCACTGTGCCCATTATGAGGGGTTCCCACCATCCCTGTGATGAGTTCCCGGGTCTGTACACCCGCTGTGCCCATTATGAGAGGTTCCCACCATCCCTGTGCTGAGTTCCCGGGTCTGTACACCCGCTGTGCCCATTATGAGGGGTTCCCCCCATCCCTGTGCTGAGTTCCCGGGTCTGTACACCCGCTGTGCCCATTATGAGGGGTTCCCACCATCCCTGTGCTGAGTTCCCGGGTCTGTACCCCCACTGTGCCCATTTTTAGGGGTTCCCACCATCTCTGTGCTGAGTTCTCGGGTCTGTACACCTGCTGTGCCCATTATGAGGGGTTCCCACCATCCCTATGCTGAGTTCCCGGGTCTGTACACCTGCTGTGCCCATTATGAGGGGTTCCCACCATCCCTGTGCTGAGTTCCCGGGTCTGTACACCTGCTGTGCCCATTATGAGGGGTTCCCATCATCCCTGTGCTGAGTTCCCGGGTCTGTACCCCCGCTGTGCCCATTATGAGGGGTTCCCACCATCCCTGTGCTGAGTTCCCAGGTCTGTACCCCCACTGTGCCCATTTTTAGGGGTTCCCACCATCCCTGTGTTGAGTTCTCGGGTCTGTACGCCTGCTGTGCCCATTATGAGGGGTTCCCACCATCCCTGTGCTGAGTTCCCGGGTCTGTACACCCGCTGTGCCCATTATGAGAGGTTCCCACCATCCCTGTGCTGAGTTCCTGGGTCTGCACGCCCGCTGTGCCCATTATGAGGGGTTCCCACCATCCCTGTGCTGAGTTCCCGGGTCTGTACACCCGCTGTGCCCATTATGAGGGGTTCCCACCATCCCTGTGCTGAGTTCCCGGGTCTGTACACCTGCTGTGCCCATTATGAGGGGTTCCCACCATCCCTGGAAGATTTACATTTATTTTATACAATGGAGAATATAATAGAAGTCCCCGCGGGGAATATTTAGAGCTCGCAGGCAGGTGGGGACCAAACTAGGAACTATTCCAGGAAGATCACCGAAGTACCCAAAAGATATTCCAGGTAGCGAATGGCTAACCCGGCCCACCAGACCGCCCCCATTGCTCTGATTGGAAGGATTGCCCCTTTAATTGGTGTCTTGCTGTGTTCCAGGAATATCTCGATGTTCTCGGACGTCCGATGGTTCTCGCTGGGAACGAGGCCAAGCAGGTTCAGTGGACGAACGTTTATCAGGACGCCCTGGTGAGTACCGGGACACCGCCACCACCTTGTCCCCGAAGACCTATGGTGGGTGTCGGCCTAACGTCATCGTGTCCCCGTTTATGCCCCTCCCCCTTCCCATCCACTCCTCCCTGTGATGTCCCAGCCCCACCCCCACCTGTTTCGGCACAGATGGAATTCTGTATTCTGCAGTAGACGTGTAAACGCACAACAAGCAGCCAACAAGTGAAGGACTCGGATCTGTCAGGATTCTTGGGTTTTGCTGGAAAATGGACAAATAATGGATATGCTCAATGGAGTCTGGATGGGCTTCCTAATGGGAAAGCCCAGCATTGGATCCCCTACAGCTTTGTCTATGGCCAGAGCAGGGGCGGACTGACAACTCATGGGGCCCCCAGGCAATAGGGGATCATGGGGCCCCTGTGTCCTTGCCCACACTCAAAGCACACCCAAAAAAGCCTATAAAAAGGTTACCAGGGGCATTTCATGGGGCCCCCTACTGACCCCGGGCCCTCGGGCAGTGCCCAAGTGCTCTAATGGTCAGCCCACCCCTGGGCCAGAGTAACGGGATGTGACTTTGGTGACACACAGTGCAGGAAATGTGTATTTGCTCCCCTCTGATGGTGAATGATCGCCCCTCACACAGAAATGATCGGTCTAACAATGGAATGTTGGCCCCTCACACAGAAATGATCAGTCTAACAATGGAATGTTCGCCCTTCACACAGAAATGATCGGTCTAACAATGGAATGTTCGCCCCTCACACAGAAATGATCGGTCTAACAATGGAATGTTGGCCCCTCACACAGAAATGATCGGTCTAACAATGGAATGTTCGCCCCTCACACAGAAATGATCGGTCTAACAATGGAATGTTCGCCCCTCACACAGAAATGATCGGTCTAACAATGGAATGTTCGCCCCTCACACAGAAATGATCGGTCTAACAATGGAATGTTCGCCCCTCACACAGAAATGATCGGTCTAACAATGGAATGTTCGGTGTAACACTGAGAGACAGAATACAACAACAAATTCAGCAGAAATGCGTCTAACAAATGATGACGGATCTGCATGTTCATGAGGGAAAGAAGGATTTGATCCCCTATCATTCAGCAGGATTTCTGGCTCCCAGGTGTCTCTCATACAGGTAACAAGCTGAGATTAGAAGCAGTCTCTTAAAGGGAGTGCTGCTAATCTCATTGTGTTACCTGTATAAAAGACACCTGTCCACAGGAGCCATCAAACCATCAGATTCCAAACTCTCCACCATGGCAAAGACCAAAGAGCTGTCCAAGGATGTCAGGGACAAGATGGTAGACCTACACAAGGCTGGACTGGGCTACCAAACTATGGCCAAGCAGCTTGGTGAGAAGGTGACAACAGTTGGTGCAATCATTCACAAATGGAAGAAACACAAAACAAGTGTCAGTCTCCCTAGGTCTGGTGCACCATGCAAGATCTCACCTCGTGGAGTGTCAATGATCATGAGAACAGTGAGGAATCATCCCAGAACTACACGTGAGGATCTTGTCAATGATCTCCAGGCAGCTGGGACCACAGTCACCAAGAAAACAATTGGTAACACACTACGCCGACAAGGACTGAAATCCTGCAGTGCCGCACGGTCCCTCTGCTCAAGAAAGCACATGTCCAGGCCCGTCTGAAGTCTGCCACTGAACATCTGAATGATGCAGAAGAGGACTGGTGGGAAGTGTTGTGGTCAGAGGAGACCAAAATCCAGCACTTTGACATCAACTCAACTTGCCGTGTTTGGAGGAGGAGGAATGCTGCCTATGACCCCAAGAACACCATCCCAACTGTGAAACATGGTGGTGGAAACATTCTGCTTTGGGGGGGGGGTCTCTGCTAAGGGGACAGGACAACTGCACCGCATCAAAGGGACGATGGACGGGGCAATGTACCATCAAATCTTGGGGCAGAACCTTCTTCCCTCAGCCAGGGCATTGAAAATGGGTGGTGGATGGGTGTTCCAGCATGACAATGACCCAAAACACACGGCCAAGGCAACAAAGGAGCGGCTCAAGAAGAAGCACATTAAGGTCCTGGAGTGGCCTAGCCAGTCTTCACACCTTCATCTGATTGAAAATCTGTGGAGTGAGCTGAAAGTTCAAGTTGCCAAACGTCAGCCACCAAACCTTAATGACTTGGAGAGGATCTGCCAAGAGGAGTGGGCCAAAATCCCTCCTGAGATGTGTGCGAACCTGGGGGCCAACTCCAGGAAACGTCTGACCTCTGTAATGGCCAACAAGGGATTGGCCACCAAGTACTAAGTCATGTTTTGTGAAGGGGATCAAATCCTTCTTTCCCTCATGAACATGCAGATCCGTCATCATTTGTTAGATGCATTTCTGCTGAATTTGTTGTTGTATTCTGTCTCTCAGTGTTACACCGAACATTCCATTGTTAGACCGATCATTTCTGTGTGAGGGGGGTGCGAACATTCCATTGTTAGACCGATCATTTCTGTGTGAGGGGGCGAACATTCAGCATCAGCAGGGGAGCAAATACACATTTCCTTCACTGTATATATATGTGTATATATATATATATATTACAATGTATCATATTGCCCATGAACCTTTTTTTATTTCCTTCCAGGGGCTGGGCTTGGTGGTCACAGGAACGCTTCCGGTATTTAACCTGACGACAGATGACTCTGGGAATCCCGGAAAGGTCAGATATTCTTTGCCAGTCATTTCATCTTTGACTCCCTTTATCAAGATAAGCACATCTGCTCTTACTCTTACATCATCACTGGGTCTCTGTGCTTCTCTATTGAATGCAACAGATCATGGCTTTTGGGAGATATTTTGGGACATAGCTTCCTGAAAAAAAGACACAGCGATTTGCCTTAGTACTACTCTCAAGAACCCCTCAGCCCTGATGCAAGCAGTGGCAGGAGTTATGCAAATATAATATTTTGGGTGGGTGTCCACCTTAAGGAGTGGGCATTCCTAGGCAGGTAGTCAGGATGTACTGGCATAGGTAATGCCCACATGTGATGCTGAGCCTCC